CTTCGAGCGGGGCGGGGTAGCGCCGAGCAAGAGCACAACTGGACGGTGTTGCTGCCTCCTTGATGAGGAGGGGGTCCAGGGCATCGTGAAGCCGAACGGAGTAAGAGAGGCCTCAGAGAGGCTTCTAATAAATACGTTTTTTTGGAAGGGAGTAGAAAGGGGAAGTGTGGTGATAACTGTCTAATGGTGGTTATTTGCAAAAGCTTATCTTGCAGGTGACTGTTGTGTTAATTGTGTCTATGCCAAAGGCCAGGCCCACTGGGGAGCTGTTCCCTTCGGTGAGGTAAATGTTTGCAGCAGAGATGGGCTTGCAGATGGCCTGTGCTCCGACCTCGAGGTCGGGTGGCAGCAGCTCACAGGACTTGGCAGAATGCAGTGCTGTTACAATGGTGGGAAAGGGCTCCTGAGACTGAGCTGGTAGGGTCTGCTTGGACTAAACTGGCACCAGGACTTAATACCAGGAGCTTGCTGGGGATGCAAGGACCCCCTTGAAGCTGTAGGCTGAAGAAACTTGACTACCCACAAAGAGTTAAGTGTGCTGCAAGCAGTGAGATGTGGCTGCTGAGTGTGTCCACTCTTTGGGCATAATAACTGGAATAGCTGTTCTTGGATGGGCAGAAGAAGGCAAGGGAGGAGGCTAAGCTGGAGTTTGTTGGGATCTTGCCTGAGAACTGAAAGTCAGCTGGTGACTCTGGGGCTGGGCTTCTTATTCCCCCTATTGTGTGGGGGCTGATTAAAAACAACCAGAACAGTGCTAGCTTGTTCCAAGCCTTCTGTGCAATGGAGTAATTCAGGCTCTTTTGGAAACTGGTCTCCTGTAAACAGATATCACCTCCTGTTATTGTGCCAATGAGTCATATGTTATGGAAAGAGAAATATTAACTACAGGTGCAAAACATGGAGCAGATGGAGAGCTTAAAGATGCTGTTCTCATGCAAATGACCTTGATAACAAAAGAAAGGAGAAAAGCTGTAAAGAAATTGTATGTTTAGAAGGCCTATTGAAGCTAACAGC